CTGCCCCCCGCCACCCCCTCGTTCGTACGCGCACTGCTGCTCATTCGCACCCTTGTCATCACGCCTGCGCACGCCTCGTCCCGTGTTGCAGGCATCGGACCGGACGGCCACATCGCGTTCAACGAGCCGGGGTCGAGCCTCGTGTCTCGCACGCGCGTCAAGACGCTCGCTCAGGACACGATCACCGCCAACGCTCGATTCTTCGACGACGACATAAGCAAGGTGCCGACGATGTCGCTGACGGTCGGCGTGGGAACGGTGATGGACGCGAAGGAGGTGAGTGGAGCGCGCGAAGGAGGAGGGAGGAGGGAGGGCGGAGGAAGGGAGGGAGGGCGGAGGGGGAAGGAGGGAGGTTGGTTGCAGTGTGCAAAGGAGGAGGGAGGGTGAGAGGAGGGAGCAGGGAGAAAGGAGGGAGAAGGCAGGAGTGTGGTCGTGGGGCCTGAGGGAGGAAGGAGGGAGAAGGCAGGAGTGTGGTCGTGGGGCCTGAGGGAGGAAGGAGGGAGAAGGCAGGATGATTGTCGTTGGCCTGAGGAGGAAAAGGGAGAAGGCGAGGATGGTCGCTTGGGCCTGAGGAAGGAAAGGAGGGAGAAGGCAGGAGTGGGGCGCTGGAGGGAGAAGGAGAGAGAAGGCAGAGTGTGTCGTGGGCCTAAGGAGGAAGGAGGGAGAAAGCAGAGTGTGGTGCCTGGTTCTGAGGAGAGGAAGGAGAAGGGGTGGTCGCTGGCGCTGAGGAGAAGGAGAGTGTGTACACTGGGGGTGACATATGTGAATCAAATACCCCCAATAGCTGACGGCCTCCTGCTTCTCTCTATCTCTGTCTGCCTGCAGGTGATGATCATGATCACTGGGCAACACAAGGCGTTCGCTCTGCACAAGGCCATCGAGGAAGGAGTGAATCACATGTGGACCGTCTCCGCCTTCCAGCAGCATCCCAACACCCTATTCGTACGTAGTAACATTGCCGCAGCGGTGGTCCAGCGAAAGTAGCGATGGTTTGCAAATGATTGAAATTTGTGCCATAATATATACAGTATGTATAGAATATAGTGTATGTAGTTACATTTCATAGTGTCTTATCTCTTTGTCTTTCTCTCCCTCTGTACTATCTCATCTCTCTCACACTCACTCTCTCCCTCTGTACTTATATTACATAGTGTCTTATCTCCATCTCTCTCTCTAGATCTGTGACGAAAGATGCCACGCTGGAGCTTCGCGTGCGAACGTGAAGTACTTCAAGTCTCATGCACGTGCACAACAAGCTGATAGAGGATGATGAGAGGAGAAGCCAGAGTAGGAGGAGGAGGTGGAGAAGCCAGAGTAGGAGGAGGAGAGGGAGAAGCCAGAGTAGGAGGAGAGGGAGAAGGTAGAGGATGAGGAGGAGAAATCTGAGTAGGAGGAGAAGACAGAGTAGGAGTAGGAGGAGAAGCCAGAGTAGGAGGAGAGGGAGAAGCCAGAGTAGGAGGAGGAGAGGGAGAAGGTAGAGTAGGAGGAGGAGAGGGAGAAGGCAGAGGAGGAAGATGATGAGGCAGAGTAGGAAGAATGGTGGGGAGGGGGAAAAGGAAGAAGACTCTTCTTCGAGTTTTCTATTGTCTCGTCGGTGCATCTCATGTTATACGTCTGTGAGTTAATCCTGGTGCAGGAGGCTGAGAGGTAACTTCATCTAGATATAATCTCATTTACAATATCAAAATACTAACATGTGTTACAGTCTTTACTAATACCAAAAGGTATTCTATCTAGATTAGTGCATTATTAAGTTCATTAGTAATTATATTAACGATGTAATCGCTTTGTAATCAGTTGAGTTATCTGCGGTGATTGGTTGATCTATCTTCTTATCACAATGTTTTCTGGTAAACGACCTAACCCTAAACCTAACCCTAACCCTAACCCTAACGACCTATAATATTATTCCGTGTGAGAATATGTATAGTGATCGGTATGTGGTACGGGTATGTGTGTGTGTGCATGCGTGAGTGAGTGCGTGCGTGCGTGATGTATGTGTTTAGATCTATAAGTCTCTCCTATAAACCCCTCATTGTCATGTCTCATGTCGTGCCCCGCTCAGTACGATGGTGAGTTCGCGCGGGTTGCACGCTATTATTACCAATGCGCAGGAATGTATACACAACCGTCTTCGCTGATATCAAGGCTTGCCGAGAAAAGTTGGTATGTGTGCAGGAAACCATCTGTTACTCCCTCATAACAATGCACAAACTACATGCATATTAACGTGTGTAAAAATGCACTTGTATATACACACATATATATACATACATAACGAGAACGAGATACTGTATTATATGTGAACCTTTCTGTTTATATGCTAATGGGTGATGCAAGTCGAATTGAGCCGTGAATGACACATCAAGGTGGAGAGAGTTCAGCAGGTGTCACATAGACTGTCTATACGCTATATACATATATCAAGAGCGTATAAAGAAGGCATATAAAGAAGCCTTCTTTATACGCTCTTGTATATATATATATATATATATATATATTTGCTCATTGTCAACAGTGACTTCTTCTATGCTGTGAAAATGTTGATGCCTCAATATAAGAGTCGAGGCGTTATTTGTATGAGAAAAACAACTTGTAATAAAATTTGTGATGTAATACAAAGAATATTTTGCGAATTGAAATTCTACTCCTATTACAGTGTCCTTAGACTAACTGTATCTGTCTAGGTGTAAGAATAAGACGTTAACAATGACACTGCACAAAAATATCTACTACCTCCTATTAATGACGGCTAAGAAGATACACCAAAACATGTAAGCTCTACAAGTGTCTCTCATCAAGAGACAAACGCCATGCAATCGGCTGATCATCATGCTCAGCACACGTACATGATATGTAATGTATTTACACGTGATATGATACGGTATCGTATATATCATGTTACTCCTGGGTATTATATTATACATAACATGCGATAATTTATAACCGACTTAAAAACGGAACACACGTGCATGTATGAACTGTAAAAAATTCTGCAATGCACATTTGTCTCATTGCAACTCATAAATGTCATGAGCCTTCCATATAAAGACTAGAGTAAATGCATAAAACGCCTATAAAACTCATCGACAGCACCCGGAGAATTACGCCGAAACCATTCTTGGTAAAATAAAAAATGTACAAAACACATTAATATAAAACCGCACACGTAGGAAAAATATATCCTTACTGATATGAATACTTCCTCCTAGAACAAACAACATTCCACGCTCGCGCGAAACACGCAATGCTCGACGCAATAGCCAATAAACAAATCAAGTGGGAAAGACTTCATTGGTTATATGTAAAAAATATTTTTTAAATGCGATCGCCGTCCATCCGTCCTTCTGTGCTATTGTACGTCTGCTCTGTATGACAACATGCAGCATTGGCAACGCAGACGTGATGTTAAGAGTACGAGATCGAATACGCCTTAGACGCCTTGGCCCCCGGCGTCGGTACTGACGCTGGTTGCTTGTTGCCATGGCGATCCACCGTCGACTTGCCGATCGTCTGCCGTTAAGAAACATCGTGCATCATTACCTCGGTAACGACGATCGATTCACTCATCCCTTCGCGTTGAACCAGTTATCAAATTATTGATTTAATTATTTGTAAGGATGCTTTGTTGTCACTGCACCGATGATCGAAGACAATATTATTACATATATATCCTTTATGAGGTCCTTGGATTTATATCTACGCTACGAAACTCTGTGGTTTTGCTACGTTACACATTTGACCTTATTTGAAATTGAATCGAAAGCTCACAAACGAATAGAATGGACTCGCACTTCTATAAGTCACACTTGTATATTAGCGTTGCTCGTCCTAAACACATGTTCGCTCCATAAAGAGGATTCTAGTGTATAACCGCCACTCGGGAGATTGTGTCCTTTATAGATATATGTTTTTCACTCGAGGGAAACACTAATTATAGACAGGTGTCCATTATAGACAGGTGTCCTTTATAGACAGGTGACCGTTCTATAGGGTACTCACGAATGTGATCGGTGCGGGTCGCCTCCCCTCCTCCTCCTCCTTCCCGTTCGCTCCGGCGACCCTCCCCCCGGACTCCCATCCCGACAGGTACCCCGTGTCATCGCCGCGGCGACCGGACGAGGCGTCGGCGTCGCCTTGGCGACCTAGGCGGCGCTGGAGGTCGAGTATGGCGCGTCGTAGCGCGGCGATGTCGTCTCGCTGCTGCAGCAGACGCTCGAGGTCGGCGGACAGACGGTTCTTACACGCGGCGAGGTCGTCCCGCTCCCTGGTCAGCCTCCTGGTGAGGGTGAGAGACATGTAGGGTGAGTGCGTACGGTCAGTACTAGCATGTAGAGAAGGAAGTAGTGGATCGATGAGAATAGAGAAGCTAGATAAGGAACGATGGTGATGAGGCAATATAGATGAAATAGAGGAGCGTATAACGTACACACCTGGGCAAATCCGTAAGCAAAAATGCTACATTCAAACACTTCTCACACTAGAGGGCGCAACGAGACCATTTCGGAGTCGTAGAATCAGTCTGGTAGGATCTTGGGTCAGTAGTCAGTCTATATATCTCTTTGTTGATATCGTCGTTCTGACATCTGGCGGTTGTGATCAATGTTTAACAATATCAGCTGATGACCTGTTGACGACTTTTGACATTTGTCTTGTTTCGACGCCTGCCTAGTTTTATATATCCCTGATCTCGTCGTACGCATCAGTTCTTTCTAGCCAAATGCGTCTGGTTATATGCGATGATTATGAGAGAGTCAGTGACTGGGCCGCGAGGTATATCATGAAGAAAATTAACGACTTCAAACCTGGACCTGACAAGTACTTTACGCTGGGGTTACCTACAGGTGAGGTGGGCACGATAGTACAGCTGTACTTTTGTGTACTTGTCATTAAACTTGCATTTTGGAGTATTTACTTGCACTCGGCTATTAAACATAGGTTATTTCTCCGTGTTTGTTATGGTATGTTATAGGCCCTATGTTCTCTTACTCTTAGTATTACTTGTCCATTGTCGGTGTCCGGCCACTATAAACGGCGTACGGCACTATTACGGTGTAGTAATTTACGTCAGTTGCTTCTACAACACCCACGGGTAGGTTGTTCTTGGGAGGGGGGTTTGATCTGGTACCTGACACCCCAGGGGTAAGATATCTATTCGCCGGTAGTGCTATGAGTATGAGGTGTTTTACAACCTTAAAGTTATACATCCTGTTTGGTAATACTACTAATAGAATATAGAGTTTGCACCTCATCATTGTTCTGTTTCACATGTGCCATTATTTCGAATTTACGAAGCATTGGTATGGATAGCTGTAGGTAGGGTCTACCCAACGCGGCAATGTACATGCAGTCTCTACCCAATGTTTGCGAACATGAGGCCCGGTGAGCCAAACTAAGATTGTGCCGGTAACCTGCATATATGCCTCCTTCGGGGTCTTTGTATCTCATACAAGCGACTGTGTGCGTGCATGATATGTGCGTCTGCAAACATTGCATGCGTGCAATATGTGTGTCGGCATGTGTGCATATATGCTCTACAATCTTACAGGAAGCACACCCAGCGGAGCGTACAAAAAACTCATCGAGTTCCACAAGCAGGGGAAAGTTTCATTCGAGTATGTGAAGACATTCAACATGGACGAATACGTTGGTAGGCATACGACAATCACTATACATCATTCCACATATATTACAATTATATGACAGTGACATAATAATAATAATAATAATAATAATAAGTACGTAGTAATGATGATGGTGTAATAAATCTACACTGGTCGTTGGTGTCATACCTGCAGGTCTGCCCAGAGACCACCCAGAGAGCTACCACTCCTTCATGTGGACGAAACTCTTCAGCCACGTCAACATCCGTCCGGAAAACGCGCACATACTGGATGGCAACGCACCGGACCTAGTCGCAGAATGCAACCTGTTCGAGAAGAAGATAACCGAGGCCGGAGGCATCCAGTTCTTTGTCGGAGGTACGCTCCTATTCCCCCTTCGTTCGAGGCGCGTTACTAATAAGCCCCCTTCTAGAGCCACCGTAACACCGTAGAACCATATTGTCTACACACAGGCACACGCACAGATCTTTGGTGACTCCAAACCCTCACCCCCTGTTAAACTAAACAGGCCCCCTGTTAAAATAAAAACTAGATCCACCCTAACACGGCAGAGCCGTATTGTATTGAACCGTAGTGCCTACCCCCGGCCTCTGATCAGAAATCATCTAGATCATAACATTAACCCTAACCCCAACACCCTAACACAGTGCAACCATAATGTGCAGAACCGTAGAGCCCATCCCGACCTCCTGTTATAAAGCACATACCGTCGGCCCCCTGGGGAAAAGCACATACCGTCGGCCCTCTGTGGAAAAGCACGTACCGTCACCCCCCTGTGGAAAAGCACGTACCGTCGCCCCCCTGTGGAAAAGCACGTACCGTCGGCCCCCTGGTGAAAAGCACGTACCGTCAGCCTCCTGTGGAAAAGCACGTACCGTCGGCCCCCTGGGGAAAAGCACGTACCGTCAGCCCCCTGTGGAAAAGCACGTACCGTCGCCCCCCTGTGGAAAAGCACGTACCGTCGCCCCCCTGTGGAAAAGCACAGCGACCTTATAAACGACCCTGGCGACCTTATAAACGACCCCAGCGACCTTATAAACGACCCCGGTGACCTTATAAACGACCTGCCAACCTTATAAACGACCCCAGCGACCTTATAAACGACCCCGGCAACCTTATAAACGACCCCAGTGACCTTATAAACGACCCCAGCGACCTTATAAACGACCCTGGCGAGCTTATAAACGACCCCAGTGACCTTATAAACGACCTGGCGACCTTATAAACGACCCCAGTAACCTTATACATGGTTCGTACAGGAAGACTGAATTTTTTTTCAAGGACTTTTCAAGAACATTTTATCGGAAATTCAAGGACATTTTACCAGACATTTTATCGTAATTCATACACAGAACAAAACATACCTGGATTAATTTAATAACCCCATTCTTAATCACTGCATGTCACTTCTAAAACTTACCTGGATCACATTAATAAACCCTTCTAAACACTGTCACTTTTACAACATACCTTGATTTACTGACTGATTTTAGTGACTTACTGTAATTTGTGATCATCATTTAACTGTCTATCGTGTCTATAGCTTTTTTAAGCTCATTTAACGCAATTTTTATTGAGGTTTACACATTATTGATGGTACAAAATTTATTTTTATTACAGGCAATGATTCTTTCTAAAAATTCAAGAACATTTTTATGAAATTCAAGGACATTTTCATGAAATTCAAGGACTTTTCAAGCACAAAATCCACATTTACTAAATACAAGTACTTTTCAAGGACTCCCCTCAAATTCAAAGACTTTTCAAGGACTGTACGAACCATGTTATAAACGACCCCGGCGACCTTATAAACGACCCCAGTGACCTTATAAACGACCCCGGCGACCTTATAAACGACCCCAGTGACCTTATAAACGACCCCGGCGACCTTATCAACAACACCGGCGACCTTATCAACGACCCCAATGACCTTCAAAACGATTCAACGCAGATGAGCTGAGACAAAGGAGTCGCTCAGACGCGAGACGCATCAGAAACACGGTCCCGATCATTACTGCCACCTACTGGATGGCTTGCCTCATTGAATATTCGTGTTACTAAATATTTGCATTCCTAAATATTCCCCCTCGACCGGGTCGCCGCAACGTCAAAACGGCGCCGACGCGTCCGCGAACGAGCCGACGCAAAAACAAGCGAGCGCTCACCTCTCGACGCGGTCGTAGTTGTCCGTCTTGTAGTCGCCTCGGCGGATGGTGGACCTCGTCTCGGTTAGCTCAGCTTCCAGCTTCTGTGTTCTCACGATCGCGGTGGCGTGGTCCTCCCGCAGCACGCCCGAATTCTGCATGCCAACGCATCACCGGATTAACGATAGCCGTGGGAAATTTTATTCTGTTTTAGGGGGCCTGCAGTTTTAGGGGGAATATCAGAAATTTTGCCTAAAAAAATACACACATATACATAAATATACACGAATATACACGAATTAACGATAGTCGTAAGAGTAGCATTTGCCATGGGCCATGCGATTTTAGGGGCCCTGTAGTTTTAGGGGATATATCAGGAACTATCTAATAGTTAAATTTTGTTTATAAATATTTTGCTTTGTTTTGCTTCATTTATTTTAGTATACACGTAAACCTGATGCAATAATGAGTGCTAGCGTGAAGTTTATTTGTCAGTAATGAATATTTTGTCAGTACGTTGTGTGAAGCAACTCCACGTTCGTCGTCCTACACGCGCTACCTTGCTGCATAGTTCCAGTTCGCGCTTGCACTTTGCGAGATCCCGCTCCAGTAACTTCTGGGCGTCTCTGTGCTCTTGCAACTCGATCCTCATCGGCCTGATTGCATCGCAAAGCTTCAACTGCAAGTGTATCATGAGAGAAATTTCGCTCACACAAGTGCTTTCTTTCTAGCAATTTCCGAAGGCACATTGTTTATGGATGGGAATGGGGCAGAGCCTGGAAGGCGGTTGTCTCAATCAAGAGTTGATTACGCATATCGTAAGCGGCCCCAATACACAGGTAAACTTGATCGGTGCGGACACGTCTATGCCAAGCCGAGAACACACACCCCGACTATGACGGGATTTTAAAAAAGAAACTCGGCTTGAGATCGAGGCACGTCGATTTGGCCATCGAAGACGAGCGTTAGAAGAGTTACGGCAAGTTATTATTTAAAGTTAGACATTATGAGAATTTCTTCCCCTGACACGTACAATAGAGACCAGTGTGTGAACATGGACTAGGTCCAGCCTCTCTGTGGCAATAGAGGGGAAAACCGCTGCCATGTACTTACTGCAGCAAAATCCTTGAGGGAAAGTTGCTCTTCGGGCAAACCTTTCAGCTCAAAATACTCCGAGTCGGTGAGAGACAGATCTCGAAGATGCTGTTTGACGTCACCGGCCCGTTCCTCCAAGCGAGCGTTTCTTAATTCAAGTTGCTGCTGTCGCTTTAGCAGCGACTCGAGTTCTGCAAAAACAAAACGAGATGGGAGCGAGTTGTGGAAAACTGTAATTATGTTTAATGGAAACTGTGGTGTGGGTTATATTTTTGCTTCGAAATCGCGCAGTGTCGTAGTAGACACGAACAATTACCAGAAGTCCAAAACATACCGTATTTATAATTTAGTTACATTTACCTCAATGTCATCTGTGTCAGTGTTTCTGCTAATTAGTTTAATAGATATACAGTGCTCGAAATAAGCGTTGTCCGGTTGTCCGAGACAACCAGAATTTGCGCCGGACAACCTAACCAATCTGAGACATTGTCTGGTGGACAACCAAGAAACCCTATCCCTAACCCTAACACTAACTATAAACCGACTCGGCTATCTTATATATACGCGTGGTACCC